TCGGTAGAGGCCCTCTAGGGCTAGGTCACGTCTGCTGCACTTCGATAGGTTCTTTTTACCTTCAACATCGCCGGGATAAAGAGCAGTGAGAGCTGTGGGCTTCTGATGGGTCGCCATAGTTCCGACTAACTCAGACGTAATGGAGTAAGCAATACGATTTTCTAGGCGAGTCGATGGTTTAACAATTGTGCAGTGAGGTTCCCGAATTAACAGCATACATCGGGTTTCAGAAGCCTAGCTGTGGAGGATGGCAAATCCAGATTTTGAGAAGTAAAGTCGTGGTAAAATTAGACGCATGCACTGGGATTGTACATTTCCAAACGACGATATTCGTTGGATGGAGATATGTCTCAAGGAATCAACAACTGAAACAACATTCCATTTTGACAAGTCAGACAGACCCTCGTACATCTTCACATAGTGAATTGCTTTGTGACAATAGTCAACGCTGGTTGTGACTCGAGACTCTTGTTTCTGACTCCAGAGTGAACCCCCGTTTTCGGTCTTAACGGTGCGTAGAACCGGAAGCTTGGCGAATCCTATTCCTTCGAGGTTAGAGCAAACAAGCCCAATGCACCTATTAATACGTACTGCAAGAGATTTACAGAGCGTCTTCAGGTAATGTTTGAAAGGCATTTCGACTGTATAGAGATGACGAGTAACGACGGCGACATCGAAGGAGGAGCTCAAGAAAAGACGGAAAAATTAAAAGACTCGATGTTCCTAAGGAGAGGCAACAAACCTTGATAATAGGCTTGTCGGTCATGATAATTGTCAAATACCCAATATAAGGTAAGTACCTGCGGGTTCAAAGGAAATTGCACTTTCACATTAGCATCATTGGCAGAAGAATTGAAGTATTTAGATGATTAGTCAAGCGTTTGGTAAGCTCTGTTTATCCTGATATGCTTCACAATGCTTCTATAACCGGTGAAACCACGGAATGCTAGGGTCTCTCCGGTTGCATCATTTTCAAGGAGACGACGAGTTCTTTTTTCCCCCTTAAACAACAAGCCAAGTTTACTTTATCAACTACGAAGTGAGGCTTGGAGAACAAGGCAGAAAGAAAAGTATTCTGGGATCCAAAGAGCCTGTATAGCATGGGAGACGGAAAATGCCGGATTTCTTTGCAAATGACCCCTAATTCCAAATGCTAAATTTGCCAACAAAATGTTCAAAGGAAAGGCAGAATTACCCAACGGCTCTCCCCATGATATGCTGCTGCTGCAACCAATGTTGGCCGGGCGCATACATGATCCTATCGTTTACATCGTTATTGTCACCTGATAATTTAGCCAAACAAAGAGATCACGAAGCTGGGTAAGGTGGAAGGCAAATAAGAACAAAAGGAGCATCATGCATAAGAATCACAGCAGGCTGCTCGTCAGCCACTCCTCATATTTTGATTGACTTCAGGAAAGAAAGCATTTCAGGGTGATAGATACGAAACAATGAAATTACAGCTCGGCGCTTTCCCTGGGAATGGTTAGCTTGTTTTTGCCAAGGTACAATTGGATGATCTCTAGTCTTGTGCTCTACCTTTTGTTAAAATGTCGACTTCGCCAGTGCCGCGATGCTCATGAACCTAAACAAAAGAAGCGAATTTTCGGCGTTCTATCAACTGGCTTTCGGGAGCACTAACAGGCCCTAGAGAATGTGATGTGCGAGTGCGCATGAGAGTCGAGAGAGAAAGAGAGCCTTACTTCAATAACTCGATGCACAATTGGAATATCACGTCCCTGGATGATGAAGCAACCATGTCCGCATTTCAGAAACAGAAAATGATGTTCAGTATCTATGGGCCAAGCGTACATGACATGCATAAGAAGTTAAGGATATATCCAGAAAAGAATTCATGAACTAATGTAGCTAGCGACCTATTGACACAATGCCTTCTTTTTTCTGCTCATCGAAGAAATTTCACAAAGACTTATCATGGTAAGGAAGAAGGGGGAACAAGCACACTTAAAGAGCGCATGCTTTAGGGAAGGATGAATTGCTCCTAAAACGAACCTACTGAGTCTCTCCTAATTAATTGGATTGTAGTTGTGATGATTTGCTTCACGGGTGGAATAAAATTCCATGAGATGTTTGTACCAGCCTATGATTGTAGGTCAATGGCCAGATGAACACCAACTAATATTACACTAAAAAGAAGTAGGTCCAAACCAACTGGGATGTTAGAGACCATTCGTTTCAAACAATTTTCTGCAACTAGAGAGACAGAGAGGCCTATGCCTCTTTTCCAGCAATGGTTTCTGATTTCAAGGCTTTCAATGATGCTGCAGATTGTAGACAAGTCTTGTGTGAAAGGGTTCCTCCTCATTTAAGTGCATCAGATGTCAAAAGCATTCAAAGGCATATCCAAACTAGATACAAAGCAAGTAAATTGGTTATAAATGCCAATTAAATGGACGTACGTCTATATTGAAAACAACAATATCTCCTGTCCGAATGGGATCCTTGTTCTTATGCAAGAATAAAATGTCACCCTGCAAGAGAAAGTTGTGTATGCAGATTAAATCACCAGGCAGACGAACAAGGTAAACTCTACTTGCTTTCACTGCAAATTTTTTAGGATCAGGTGGGACGAACAAAGCACTGTAAACCAGATCTATGCAATTTGTCCATAACATGTCACAACGTGAGAGGAGTTACTGGTTTTGCAGCTTTAATTTCTCTTCTTCTTGCAAAATTTTCATGATGCGCAAGTGAAGGGATGATGTGCGATGGATGGTGAGCAATAATCATCCAGATAAATCCCAGTTTCTAGTTTCTTGGGTGAAGTCATTTTCAAGCAAATTAGCCAGGCTATGGAAATCTGAAGGGTGGGTAAGCAAAAAAGTTTAAACTAAAAGTTGTGCTTTGTTACAGGCATGGGCATCAGAATCTATACCTTGAGAGATTAAAAAACTTAGTAATCAAGGAATGTTCTGAAGTCTGAATGGAAGAATTCATTCTTCATCGTCAGAGAAATAAGAGCAATTAGTGTTGATGTACATTCCAAAACAAAAAGCACCATCTTTGGCATTATAAACATCAGACATGATTATATACAAATCTAGATCAATTGCTTATAAAAACTACCATTGGAACAGGAGAAAGACAGCAGAACCTTGCTCCAATCAGCTGGTTCAAGTCCCTAACATTTACTAGTGCCAATAAAAACTATACTCACTCTTTTGAAGCCAGGTTCCATGCTTTCAGAGAGCACCACAACAACAGGCGATTCACTACCGGTAAAGTACATCAAGCCCATCCATATCATCAAGGCTGATGTCGCTATCATGCCTGAGAGAGTTGAGCATATCGGGAGCAAATTAGAGTTTCAGTATTCACATCCTAAATATCCTAGAGCACACACTCAGAGCATTGATTCAGAATGATTATGCCACCATATTAGAGCAAAGAATAACTAATGCGTTCTCGTCTCCCAAATAAAAGTAACCCGCTCTATACTGTAGATTGAAGCTCGACTTTCATCATGTGTAACAAATGGCACCCAATAAGTTTCGGAGAAAATGGAGAACTTCTAGTCGTTTACTTAACATGCGATGCTATGACTTCTAGTTGTTTACTTTAACACAACGATGCTATTCAGCAAACAGTAGGAGCTAATACTCTTGAAAGAGATTATAGCTCAAAGTAATGAAGCTTAGGGACATGTTTAGGCGTTCCACCCCTGCTTTCGCCAAAAAGCAAAAGAAACGGGAATTAGGATCAATCTTGACAAGCAGCACGTAATGTTCCCAATTGGACGTATCACAACTTGGATCTCATGTTTTGAGGGACTAATCAGACATCCCATCCGTAGCAAGAACAGTTAGGAAAGAAGCCTAGAGATCCTGCCGTAGAGGCATTCCATGGTGATGAGCTTCTCCATCATCGAGTGCACTTCATAAAGAAAAGTTAGACCAACTGTACGACAACTCCCCACAAAAAAAGAACAAGAACTAGCCGTGAACGCGACAACCGCGGATTCATCAATTTCTTATAGAAATGACGCGGGACTAATTGTGCCTTTGTAACCGACTCCCTTACAGCTCTTACTTCTAGGTGGCTACACTCTATCAGCAAAGCACAATGGCTTTGCAACAGGGCCTAAACTTTGGAGTACCTGGGAAATCTCCCGGCGGATTGCCGGTCCGGAGAATTCCTAAAAGTAGCCGCACTCTAATGACAACTAACGCCACCCGACCAACGCTGTCTCATCTCTTCAGTCTACAATTTAAATAGATAACAATCATTAGGATCAGTCACTGCCGAAAGCTACTATTCCAAAAGGCGAGAGAGGGAGATCTCGGATCCATCAATGCGCACGAAATCCATGGGACCCAACTTAAGCCCGCCGCGGCAAAAGAGAGACAGACAGACGGTAAAGCAGCAAGCAATGTACCGCACGATCTCATCACCCACATAACCATAAGTGAAAAACCAAGAACCACCCCCTTCAACTACCATTCACTCAATCACTCACTCACTCACTCGCAATGAACGAATGCCTCTAGAGTCTCGATTGAACAGTACAAATTACAACGAAAAGAATCCAAGAAAGCGCATGCTTCTCGACAAATGGACTTCTGAAAAGCTAGAGGGAGAGCAACAAACCAAGAGAGATGGCCTGAGACAGAGCTTGCCTGAGCTGCGTGGGCTTGAAGGAGTCCAAGGTTTCTCCTATGAAACCCATCCTCGTGTCAACCTCTGTTCTGTGATCCCTTTTTCCTGAGACCAACCCAGGAAAGCTCCGGAATTCCTTTGGGTGTGCGTTGGGTTGGTGCAAGAATGCGCAGAAAATTCAAGTTGACAGTTGCATAGAACTGGAGCTTTCTCTGTCTTTTTATAGGCTTGCGAGAACTGGAAAGCGTCTCTCGCTTCGCACGACTCATCTAGCCAATCACAAACCTTCGTTGTATGGACAGGATGGCCACGTGTCGTTGTTTGAGTGGCCGAGACACGTCCCAACCCAACTGGACGAGAAAATATTAGGTGGTCCGGGACCGCCAAGCCAGCGTGGTCCCGGACCACTCATGAAGCGCCACGTGGTCCACGTGGCGCTTGTGGGGCCGGCTCGCCCGGATGGAAATTTTGCACAAAAAAATAATATTCATTATTTCTCCTTAGCCCTGCACGCTAGCCCCTCTCTCTCTCTCTCTCTCTCCTCTGCACGCATTTATTTCTTCTCTCTCTTCTCCTCCTTCGTTTTCGCATCGAAGAGGAAAACCCACCGCTCTTTCCTCTCTGGCTTTCAAATTTATTTTGAATCTCTGCGATTTCGCTCTCAAATTTCGCTCGGCTTCCTCGTTGCTCCGGCGATCCCTCCGTGGCGTTGTTGCTGCTCCGGCGATCTTTCGCTCTCTGCTCAATGCCATACCGTCGAGAAAGGCGCCAGCCGCAAGCAAGGTTCCCCTCTTCTCCTCTTCCCCCGCGCCTGGATTCTTCGTCGATCCATTTTTTTGTGTGCCCGCGTTGAGCGGTTTTGATTGGTCTTTTTCTTTTACTTTTCTCTTTGGTGGTGGTGGGTTCGGTACAAAATGGGTGGGGAGAGGGAGTCCCCTTCTGGTTTTTTGCCACCATTGTTACTGCAAATGAAAACAAACCCAAGCATGATGCTCTGTTCTAAAGGTGCTGCTAGTGAATTTGCTTCGTGCTCTCGTTTGAAGGTTTGAAGGGATGATGGCTCCGAGCCAAGGGCAAGCGGCATTGCTGACATTCTGCTCCTGCATTAGCCTCACTAGTGTTGGCCTTGTTCTTGCAAATTGTTCTGGACATTGGTAACAACTGGTTTTGGATCATTGCATTAAGCCCCTTAGCGTAAGTGAAGATTGTTTTTCGTTGAAGAGTCCGATTTCTAGTGTTCCTCATTTCTGAAGAACAAAAATCATCTGTGAATATGCTAAACCCTTGATATGATATTTTGCAGTGGAGCACACTATTGGATGCGGGCATCGTGGAAGGAGCAAATTAAGGTAAAGATGATGGTGGCGGAAGATGCCTGGTTGGAGCAAGCATTTTGATGGCCATGTTGGACAGGGTGAGTATTACTGCGAGATTTTTTTTTTCCAGCTGCATCTTTTGTGTTAATGACAAGCAAAGCATGAATGTTTCAATTTCTTACTACTGTTAGAGATAGGTTGAATTTTGTGGTGAAATTTGTTTTGCCGTTAAAGGCCTTAGCGTAACAATCTCAACATTTTGGTTGAACGTTTCATCACTTGTCTTGTGAGGTTGGTGTTCTTGTTTCTAATATGCGCCTTTTGTTGGTGCCAGCCACAGTCAAGCATTGCCTTTGTCAGACAAGGATCATGAAGAGAGGGCAAAAAGATGTGAATTTGTGTCTGAGCTATTATGATCCACCGTCATCGACGATAATTTATGAGTAGGTGCAGAATGGCGGGTGATCTGGAGCTTACGTGACCGAGAATCCGGCCCTACAATCTTTATGGTTGGCCTGGGGTGAATTTGTTGTTTGCTGATGTATTAAAATAGGAAGCAAGGGAATAGGGTGTATAAGCTAAAATGTAATTCTTTCCTTGTCGACTTCGGTTTTGACCCGAGGAAACAATGTTGTGCATAGCTCCTGTGTGATGCTTGGACCTCTCAAAAGTAACGATATTGAAGAACTTTTCTTTATGTCTATGTACCATGTATTATTCATAAACATATCAAAGCACTATCGAAAAAGCAAGGAATATTGAGTGAGAATCGCTAAATTTTACTGTAGTTAGGACTTGGAAGTAATAGGAATGGAGTGGGGGTAGGATTTTCACGGCACTAGGCATTGCATTCAGGCGTTGTTATATTCATTTAAGTGGAAAGATATCATCAGTCAATGCTAGTCTCGCTTGATGATATCTTCCTCTGTTTCCAATGACCAAAATAAGACCAAATCACAGTGCATAGGAACGAGAACATTCCATGCCACATTTAAACTTCTGACTAGGTTCGAGTCCGAATTTACTCTCTGAGAAGTGAGTTAGCCACTCCTATGCAATTGAATTAGATGCACAAGAGAGAGGAGAACCGCCTAGGAAGAAAAAGGAAGTAGTATTGAGATTGATTAACCTACCTCTTCCAAAAATAGGACCCCTTCAACCAAAACATAAATATCATCAATGTAGTCACAGAAAAATGGATCCTCTTGGGACCACGAACAGTTATCAGTATGGACAAAAACCCCCCTACTTCTCATCTAAATCCCCCCAAAATTAACCATGGACATGCAAAAAATGGCAGCCCATGTTTATCAATTCGTAAAGACCTAAACTTAACCAACGCAGTGGTAGTCTTGTGTACATTATGTTTTGGGTTACATCTTTGACGAAAACATCAAAACATGTTGAGCAAACTCCACTCATCAGACTTGTCTGTCCAGTTGCCATTTTGTCTATGTGGGAATAAAAGGATGGCAGAGGGATCGTGTAGACCTCGCTCCTCCTGTGCTCAAGGCCACAAGCAACCAATACAGTATGAGTGGAACACCTCGCTATTTCCTTGAACTCACCGTGACCTGTATCAATGATCATATCGATAAGTTCACATGCAAGGCACCTTGCGCACCAAGGAAAAAACAAATGCAATAAGCACTTGAAAGAAAGCATCATAAAGAGAACAAGCACGGGATTCTAGAGCATAAAATGTATAATAATAGGACCAAAAATCTAGTAGAACATATATAACTCGCATACCTAAATCAATTTCTCTCAAAAGGCTTTGAACATTGATTGCAATTCCTCTTTTGCTCTACGAAAATGGCTATCTTCACATCCTGCATAAGGAGATGCAGCCCCATCAGAACCGAGGCTGGATCGGCTGCTGGACTGATGATGCTGGTCAGGAACTATAGTTGAGCTCATCCCTACACGTTCGTCCAGAAATGCCCGGCCAGAACTACTGGGAGTTCTTCTGGACCACCATCACAAGCACTATGCGAAATTCACCACTGTCTACCACCTGCATCCACCCTCGATTATGACTCCAGAATGATGCGTAACATACAAAATGGAATACCAGGAAAGTGCAGTCAAGTATCGTAAGAAATCAGTATTCAAGAGTCCCCGGTTTATGAGGAGGCACCGGACAAGACTCTAAAAGGATAAAAAAAAAAGCATATTGAACCACGGCGACAAAAAAACGTTAGTGAAAGATCATTAAGCGAACCTGATCACCACGCATTCGAAGCGACTCAAAATCGGACCTTGGTTCAAACATTCTGTCAAACACATGGTGCGCAGTGGACGTTCGAGCAATTAAAAGCTTCGAACGCACACCAAGACTTGAAAGAGACCATCAAAACACACTTGTCCAGCGACATACAGCCATAACAAGTTCAAATTCAATCAACTCAGAATTAAATTTTTCCATCTTAAAGGATTGAAAAAAGGGTCAAAGAAATCAAAACTTCCAACATATCTCAGTGTTCGATTGGGCGCATTGGCAGAGATGTAGAACCAAGCAAACAATTAGAGTAATGCAAGTTTCATCATCCGTACCTGAATGAAGTGAAAATGGGATCCCCAGATCTCGGCCGCCCCAGCAGATTAATGGGCGAAGGAAAGCTGCGCCGGTGTAGAGACGGAGCGAGCGACGTACCGAGCGCCGGATTTTTCGAGAGCGAGCGTGCGCTGGAGCAGAGACGGAGCGAGGACGACGGACCCAAACCTTGGCTTAGTCGGAGAGGGGGGAGCAACGAGGAAGCCGAGCGAAATTTGAGAGCGAAATCGCAGAGATTCAAAATAAATTTGAAAGCCAGAGAGGAAAGAGCGGCGGGTTTTCCTCTTCGATGCGAAAACGAAGGAGGAGAAGAGAGAGAAGAAATAAATGCGTGCAGAGGAGAGAGAGAGAGAGAGAGGGGCTAGCGTGCAGGGCTAAGGAGAAATAATGAATATTATTTTTTTGTGCAAAATTTCCATCTGGGCGAGCCGGCCCCACAAGCGCCACGCGGACCACGTGGCGCTTCATGAGTGGTCCGGGACCACGCTGGCTTGGCGGTCCCGGACCACCTAATATTTTCTCCAACTGGAGAGGGGGGAAAAACTCCGGGGCAAGCTCCCTCTGGGCCTAGGTTGCATAGGGTGTGAATAGTAACCATTCTACTCCAAAAATCAAATTCTTGCTAGAAATTGATTTCTGGAATTCTTGCCAGAAATTGATTTCTGGAGGAGAAATCTGTTTGGTAAAACATGACTAATCTCGCTCAGAAATTGATTTCAGGCAATCTGTTTTGATTTGTTGATTTTTTTGCACCTAAAAAAATTTAAATTTTACTCAAAGTGGGTGGCCACATGTATTATAAGCCATTACGTAAAAGTTTTGAAATTTTTGATTTTTTTTAAATTTTTTTAGGCACCTAAAAAAATTTAAATTTCACTCAAAGTGGGTGGCCACAGGTATTCTAAGCCATTTTGTGAAGTTTTGAATTTTTTTATTTTTTTATTTTTTTGGGCACCTCAAAAAATTTAAATTTTACTCAAAGTGGGTGGCTACAGATATTCTAAGCCATTCTGTGAAGTTTTGAAATTTTTTATTTTTTTTATTTTTTTGGGCACCTCAAAAAATTTAAATTTCACTCAAAGTGGGTGGCTACAGATATTCTAAGCCATTCTGTGAAGTTTTAAAATTTTTTATTTTTTTTATTTTTTTGGGCACCTAAAAAAATTTAAATTTCACTCAAAGTGGGTGGCCACAGGTATTTTAAGCCATTTTGTGAAGTTTTGAAAAATTTTATTTTTTATTATTTTTCTTTTTTTTGGGCACCTCAAAAATTTAAATTTCACCCAAAGTAGGTGGCCACAGGTATTTTAAGCCATTTTGTGAAGTTTTGAAATTTTTGATTTTTTTTGGGCATCTCAAAAAATTTAAATTTCACTCAAAGTGGGTGGCCACATGTGTTTTAAGCTATTCTGTGAAGTTTTAAAATTTTTTATTTTTTTATTTTTTTAAAAAAAATTCACCAAATTTCATATTTTCCCGAAATCTGACTTTTTTTTTTATTTTCTGGAAATTTTTATGAATTTTTCTAGAATTTTTCAATTTTTATGCATTTTCTGAAAAAAAATTTGTGAGAAAATAGGGAGAATGCATTCCGGAATCAAGAAGTTACAAAAAGTAGCTTCACTTTTCTTGCCAAAAACTCATTCCGGAATCAAAAATGCATTCTGGAATCAAGTATTTTTAACAAACGCATTTTTATTCCAGAATGCAAAAATCGCTCCAGAATGCATTCCGAAATTTTTTTAACAAAAGCCATTCTGTTCCGGAATGCATTCCGGAACAGAATTTTTATTCCGGAATGCATTCCATGTGCACCCTTAGAGTTCATTGGCACTAGGAGAAACATATATAACTCCAAACTATACCCGTCGTGATATATTTACCTTAAACTTTTTCTTGTGACACAAAAAATCCTAAATTTGTACTTATGTGACATATTTAGCCTCTGTCAAAGTTCCGTTAGATGGTTTTTTAGCAAAAAAAATATCGTTTTTTATTTCGCTTAACCCACGTGGGCTCTATGTTAACACTATTTGCTTTTGTGGCAATCATGTAAATAGATTTTTAATGGTTTTCATTAACAGAACTTTGACGGAGTGTAAATGCGTTACATAAATACAAATTTGAGATTTTTTTTGTGGCAAAAAAAATTCATGGTAAATGTGTCACAATGAGTGTAGTTTTAAGATTTTTTTGTGGCTTTTACCCTCTAACTTATTGCACTTTGTTCATATTCCCATAATGGTCTCTGTGTGCCTACACAGTGATGACGTGTCTCTCGTGCTAGCAATTTCCAGATAAGTCGGTCGATCCTCTAATCGAGGAATATCGAATCGTTAATCACATATGTTAAGATCGAGCGCATTAAATGGTGGAAATTAATTTCATCGTCTCAAATTGTAAAATCAACTTAACTTGAATGGACACGACTTAAATTTACCTTAGAAAGTACTAATCGAGATAGATCAAAAAATTACGGGATGAAAACCAAAAGTCATTACACGAAACGTATCGAAATTGATCTACTTTGGGATCAAATGCGACGATCCACGAAAGATGTACAAGCCTCGACAATCAATGAATTCATTTTACAAACTTCCACTTTGTACTTAGAAAAGTATGTTTCATCGGTTTCGAAAATGTTTTTCATTTGTTTGGTTTTTTTGGGGGGGCCTAAACGGCGCCGTCTTGGGCGTTCACCTGAGCTCCAAAAGACGCAGCCATCATCCAGAGAAAACCTGCACATAAAAACCCTTCCTTTCGGGCGTCTTCTCCTCCTTCTCCTTCGCCCCCTCTCTTCACCAGCAAAAACCCTAGCCCCTCTCTCTCTCTCTCTCTCTGCACGGCCTGTGCTCATCGACAATGGTAATGCTCCCCATCTCCTCTTCGCCTCGATCGCAGCCCCCTTCTCTCTCTCTCTCGTATTTTGTTCAATTTGCTTTCTTTCTTCGTTGGTTCACCCGTTACGCGGCGTTCCTCACGGCGCGCGCGAGTGATTACCCATGCTTGTTGTTGTTGTTGGTGCAGACGGGCGAAGCGGTGAATCCCAAGGCCTACCCTCTCGCGGACGCTCAGCTCTCCAACACCATCCTCGATCTCGTCCAGCAGGCTGCTAACTACAAGCAGCTCAAGAAGGGCGCTAACGAAGGTGGTGGATCTTTGTCGCTTTCCTTGGGGGATTTTAAGGAATTCAGTACTGGGTGTGTCTGGTTTTGTTGGGGGAATTAACGGGTTCTGTTCTGTTTTGTTTGGTTGTTCTTTTTTTTTTTTTCTTTTTGTGGGTGTGTGTTTCTTCAGCTACGAAGACGCTGAACAGGGGTATCTCCGAGTTCGTGGTGATGGCTGCGGACACCGAGCCGCTCGAGATCCTCCTCCATCTCCCGTTGCTTGCTGAAGATAAGGTGACTTGCTCGCGCAGCATTCGTCTTTCTTCTTTTTGACTTAATGAGCTCCCGAGTTTTTCGTGAGTAAAATGATGATAGTTTCTCCGATAGAACTGCTGAGTAAGAGTAGTTTTGGTTCTTACTGGAATTTGTTTCTTTATAAGAGAAGCTTGATAAGATGCTTTGGATTATGTCGTGTTTGCTCTTTTTATCCGTCCGGGCATCGATCCCTCGTTTAAAAGTTTGCGACTTTTGGTAGGTGGGATGGGGTGATCGATTAATATGAAGCTACCACTTTCGATTTATGCTCTTATACTGGAGACTTTGTTCTACTTATGTAAAGTCCCTGCTTTTAATTCCTAACTTCATTGGAATAATGATGGGCGGTGTTCTCATTGTTTGGAAATGGGTTTAGGGAGATTCTTTCAGGCTCCGCATGGTTCTTGGAAACTAAACTTCACTGTCATCTCTATCGAATGCTTTGGTTAATGAGGCATTTAAATTGTATCAGAAGATTTGATGAAAGTTGAATGTCTTCTATATCTGTGTTATTTGTTAACTCTTTACACGAGGCCTGTAACAGGAAACTGTGCGTACCAACTGAAGTATTTTAGGAGGTTGGACCGTAAGAATCGGCTTACGAGCCCTTATAGTATCGGATTAAATGACGTAGGTTGAGCATTCTAGTTTTGTTATTGATCTGATCCCTTTAGGCTAATCACCCTTGTATTGCCAGTAATTGTTCAGTTCCAAACATCTTCTATTAATTGTGATGGTTTGCATAGTTAAATAAGTCAAAGTGGAACCATCGGTAATCACTGTATTTCTATTGCTGGAAGCAAGTTGATTGCTTAGATTGTGCTAGACGGCCTTCTGCTCATTGGGTTAAGTAGGCATGTGGGAGAGGATGTTGCGCTGCTTCTATTGTGGCCTAGAACTTCATAATTTAATTTTTTTAGCAGGCATTTGTAAGTGAGTATTGCTGATCAGGCATGTGAAGTGAATGTTGCATATCAGCTGATCATGCGTGGAAGGATGTTTTCTACTTCTTGTACAGTTAGACCGGTGGTACTTGTTTGGTTTCCTATCTGTGACGTGCTGTCAGAAACAAATAGTAATTTCAGGGTGATAGTGATTCTGCTTGGTCTCGGCTCTGCAATTAGCTTCAATTTTTATATGTGGTCATTGTATCCTTTTTTTTTTTCTAGTTGTCAAAGAACCCACCGATTGCGTAGTTCTTTCATGAAAAGGATAACTTTTATCCAGAATTATTGCTCCTGTTGCATAATGTCCTTCAAAACCTTGCTTAACCTATGTTGTCTATGCCAGTTGCTTGTTTAAAGAGTTAGTTAATAGAATGTGTAGATTCTTTCGGAGAGTTGTAATTCCCTAACCCTTTTACGACAGAGAGATTCATATAGTGGTTCTTCCTTGGAAGGTTATAAAAGTGTTTATCTCGAAAATGTATTCGGAGGATCTAATTATTGCGATTGTTGTAGCTACAATCATGACTCTAGCATGCACCTAACATATTAAATGATCGATTACTTTCCCTGATTTTGTTTTTGTTTTTGAGAAATAACTTATTTTTAGGAAATTCATGGTCTAGATGTGATAGCTACTGCTATATTTGCATTCTCCTAACTTTTTCACAGCAAGTAGACCCTAATTCAAATGTTGAATGAAATGGCAGAATGTGCCCTATGTGTTTGTACCTTCAAAACA